CGTTACATTAGCCCCTTATACCAGGACTACCGCTTCCCCACCATTCTCCTACACACGCAGAGAGCTCTCTCAGCATCTTGTCTCACTGAAACTGCACTCAATAAATCAGCAGCCTAACAAGGTAATCACGTACGTAGGAGGAACTGTATTGACAGAAGATGTGGTTGCAGTCAAATAATCAACAGGAAGATGAATAGTTCTGTAAAGGCAAACTAAGCCTCCATGACTGGCAAATTCAACGGCCTTCCTTGCCATTTAATGCAAAGAGACCCCCTTACTTTACAGAAACCGAGTATGTTCTTTGCGTGCTGCTCATGAGACAACGACTTCCTACAGGAATCATGAAGGGGCGTTAAGAGGGGATCGATCCGGGCAGAGATTCGACATCCACATTCTTGATGCTATAAACCAACATCACAAAATGGACTGTATGACCCTCTGAGTGGACTTAGGGATGAAAACCTGACATCAACCGAAGGGAACACGAAGAAACCAAAACCCTTCTCCATGCCTTTCCCTTTGCTGCTATCCAACACCAACTGGGAAAAGCAAATCTGACAAACAGAACTGAAAGCTACACACTAAGCCCTTCAAACACAGCAGCGAGATCATAAACTTTTGACAGTCATTTGTTAGAAATGAAAGACAACTGGCAAGGACCGTGTTCAGCATGTTCGCCAGCTTGTATTGCCTACACGGTTCCTGTGAATCGCATCATCGTGAAGTTTCTCTCCGATAGCAGCCATTTGAATTTGGCTTTGAGACTCACCACCTCTTGTACATAAAGGCACCTTTTAAGAGTGCCATTTACACACTTAAAAATGCCCGTTGTAACTACCTGACACTGCTTCTGAAATAATGGACAGAGAAGTTCTGGAGACAAGTCCTTTCAAGTAGGATAAGACGGTTTGGATCAGAACATAACCAACCTGATATCCACATAACGAGGTTTCATCACATCTTATCATCATCACAGGAGCATACCAGGAAGCCTTTTATGCGTTTCAGACTTGCACTGTATGCATACAAGCTAGTCTGTCCCTTACAGGAAAATACCATGTAAAACAATAGAATGACCCTTTATGAATACAGAACACCTCCTTCCAAAACCGATCCCAAAGCTGTTAATTGAGTTTCATTTTTAAACAGGAGAATTTCAATCTCCCTTGAAATGCCACCTACTCAGGGGTTAAAAGCATATGCTGGAGGCATTTTCTGTAACCTCCCACAATACCTGGGCTGGCAAACTTTCACGATAATGAGAGTTCAGGATTTCTGGTTCACAAATCACTGTCTTTATGAGGATATTTTGGGAGAGGGGTTCACTCTGCCCTCAATTATCCACCCTAACTGAATCTGCTCAAACTTGAGAGCAAATGGGACCACGACGGAAGCTGGCAAAGCTGAATCAATGTAACAGACTCACATTTGAGACCAGACCTCCTGAAATATTTGCTGGAACAGAACTTTAATGAAGGCTTGACTTGTACTTTCTGTAACAGGCAATGACATCCTCTCATCTAGATGTCTAAGAACATGTTTTGCATGAACAAGCATTTAGTGAAATGGTGACATGCTAGTATTTGTGTACATCATGAAAACATGTTGGAGCTGGAATAGGCAGACAGATGGTGCTGGAACTAAAGATCTGGTCCTTTATATTAGCCAGCTTAATAAAACTTTGGCATTAAACTTCTGTGTACGCTGGATAAATCTATGCCAGCTTCCAATGAAGAGCAAATGGGTGCTGATAGAGAAAGAGATAAATAATGAATAAAGAGATGCCTTTGAAAAGGGAACGGGATGGGAGTAGACAGTAACTCAAACTCCCTTCAGTGTCCTGTACTAAGCAATGAACTAAAACCAACTGCGCACAGTGGGAAAAGAGTCATCAGTGACCCTAAGGCCCCCTCTATATGTTGTGCAATGACCAGGTTCATTGTGCAATTAATTTAGACCAGCTACACATCCAAATTAACAATCACGCCATAAATCGGTCCAACCAGCTATAAAGCTATTACTGGAAAACATATAAATGTTATAGCCAGGTGCTATCTAGCTTTAATTTGCACCTGTAGCAGCAAGGTCTGCTCCTGCAGCTGACTGGGCTCCCTGGTGCACCAGAGGCAGCTAGGGCTGGGATAGGAGCTCAACTTTTCAGAGCCGATTGCCATGGCTGGTACTTTTACTCATCCTTCACATGTCACCACTGCCAGTGCTGTTTTCACCTCAGCTGCCAGCACACACATTGCCCGATCGTGACTCGTAGTGCTGTTCAACCCCGGTTTACAAGGGGAATCCACCATCGACTTGGCAGAGCGTGAAGCCTGCATCAGGGCTCTGGATTCCAAGCGTCCTCCTGCGATGACCCAACGCAAGGACAAGCCACAAAATGTGAAGTCCTCTGCACCCACCCAGAGGTACTGCTTCTCTTCCTGCTTTGAAAATGTGGTGACAGCCCTTAACACTTGAGGCCACTCCACTGAAGCAGCTGGGTCACTTTTCACTGATTTCAGCAGGCATCGACTCAGGCCCCACACCTCAAATGACTGCAGTTTACACACACACTCCAGAGAAGCATGGAGATGCTCATGACTTCACATCACTCCAGAGCATCCACATTCCCCAACTTAGGGACTGTCAAGATACCAAGTGACTAAATGCTTTGAAATAATAGCAAGCTATTCATCACTGAGGAGTGGAGCCCTCATCTGTATCTACGATTTATATCCACGGAGGATCTTCCCCTGGGAAAATCAACCTACATTTGCTAAAGGGAAAGTATTTGTAGATCTTCCTTTTGGTCAAAACTCTGGCCAGCTCTACAACTGACTTCTAGTAACTTATTTCCAAATGGTCCCCCACTGTGTATTTATGGGAATGAATTAAAAACCGTAACTAGAACCTACCAGAGGGACTTCAATTATTAGCCTTTTGCAAAGAGGTAAAGCTATTTGATTTCCTTCTCACTGAATCAAGAGTTATACAGGCCTTTACTGCGGTTTGCCCTTTTGTTGGTAGAAAGAAAACTGCCATTTCAAATGCATAAAACGTCTAGGGATCTAATACTGAGGTTCTCCATAGATTTAGTCAAGGTTGAATGTATTTAGCTAATAATACCTACCTGACTTCATTGGCAGGAGAGCCGGGATTTAACTGATGTAAAGAGACATTATATCTATTAAAGCCTGACTGACACTAAATTTGATCTACCACGTAGCCATTCCTGTTCCCTTACTATTCAAGTATTTTGCGTGCCAAATAACCAGCAATGGATAGATGTCCATGTCCTGTATTAGCCCTGTTCTTTTGGATTGATAAGTAAAGTCTAGCCCGATCATTCAGTTAATCTGAAGTGTTCTGCACGCACATGTTTGGGTTGCAAGATGACATAACTTCAGATTCACTGAAGGCTCATGGGCTTCAAATCTTACAGCTTATTTGAACCTTGAGACACTGCATATTTTTAAGCAAGGAGGCTGCAGTTGGATCTATAGCCGTGTCACCGAATGAAAAAAAAAAATAAGTTCCCTTTTGTTTGTATTCTCCTGAATTCAACAGATGCAAAACACTGCCATTTTACTACATGAACTTCCAACCTCTAGCCAGGAGGCCCCAGAGGCTTGAGAAATATCCTAGTGGGGCTCAAATTCATGCTTGAAGCTGAGAGAAGAGGGGGAGGGAAGGGGAGACAGAGAACTGTAGAAGGGATTGATTCAGTTTTTGCACCACGTTATCAGGATGCTCATGAACTCTATGATCCCTTCCAACCCCTTTGGCATTGAATTCTTGAGAAAGGAACACAATTACACCAACTGCCTGCTTTTACTTTGTTTTGGGTTCAGAACAGGGGGCATATCCAATCCACCAAAGATAGCTCGTGGCAAACTTGCAAAATCCTGCATTTTTATCTGTGCCAATCTTTCTAGAGGCAAGAGGGGTGACCTGCCTACGACTGACCTCGGAAAATGTCCTCTGTAAAACCTAGACGCATCTGGGCATCATGGACTTAACTAGGTTGCTGTTGTGCCTCGACAATTCCTTTCAGAAAATATATTGCAGTATCCAGGCAAAGTGTCTTATAAACATGGTTTACCAAGAACCACATCAATGAGGCCTTACATGTTCTTTCCTGCTCCGATAAACTATCTACAGGGTACTGGGGCTAATTTTGATTCTCTGCTTGAATCTGCCTGCTACGAAGTCACCGAGGGTTGCATAGGAATCAAGTCGGGGTAAAAATGGAATCCAGTCAACCTTTTTCTGCTGAATTAAAATGTGCTGGGCAGAAACATAAAGTCATTACTGAAGGCAATCAGGACTCATAGTAGAGATGCTATCTTTTATTAGACCAACAAGATTTTTGCAAAAAAAAAAATTTCTTTAATTGCAAGCTTTTGGGCACAAACGCCCTTCATCAGGCACTGGAGAAAAGAATTTTTTTTTGCAAAAATCTTGTTGGTCTAATAAAAGACAGCATCTCTACTACGAGTCCTGATAGCCTGTTCCTCTAGACCAATACAGCTACAACCTGGATACCTGAAATCATTGCTTACACTTTCTCATCCCTTCTATTAAACAAGCAACCTGAAGTCATTTGGAGGCTGAGTCAAATCCCACTGAATTCAAGAGAGATCATCTTGAGCTGGTTTTTTAAGGGAAAGAGATCCATATACCACCCAACCCCATTAGAGATGAGAAGCTGGAGAAGAGGTGCCTCAGCTCCAGTAACAATCCACAGAGAGGGGCTGGTCAGTGGCAGAAAGCAGAAAAGCATTTAAGAAGCCAACAGTGCCAGTCAAAGCATCCCTCTTGGTTTCTAGCTGTTGAGTAACGCCATGTCTTTTCCTGCTCTACGTCCTCTGACTCCTCCTCAGCGTGTTGGCAGCATCTGTCTTTAAAATGCTCTTGAGCAGAGTTGCTGAACGAGAAAATGCAGAACACCAGGGAGAGGGGGTAATGAAAACCAAGCCACAGGATATGTAAAATGCTTATGGTACCTAAATGGTGCGATCTTCCATCCCCCAGAGGGTATCTCTGGTACCGCGGGACGTTAAATGGAGACACGAGGCGGAAGTTTTTCTCCAGCAGTGACTCTAGTCTGCAGGCAGAGGGGTCGGCAGAATGAAAAAAACTGTACACTTGGCTGCAAGCTGGGCGGACTTGACATACTGAAATGAGAGAGAGAAAGAAATAATTCAGTATCGCTTCCTTACCAACTGCTCACGTCTCTTGAGATATCCAAGCTGGAGGTAGGGTTAAATATATGGTCCTTGTACAGTCTTCCGAAAATAAGAGCCCAAACTGCCCACACAGTCAAAAGAGAGGCAAGATTCTTCCGATTACATTATTTTCTATTTCTTCATAAAAAGAGCTATCTGCACGGCAAGGTAGCTTTACAGAGGGATCACAGCTTGAGAATGAGGCAGTCATGCTAAGGCTAAGACCAGCCTTTGAAACAAATGGAAACCAGGAAGTCAATAAAGTTTTAAAGCCGGCTAAATACATTATTGAACATCACAGCTGCAAAAAACAAGGCATTGTGTCTTTTGAATATTTCAAGGCGAAATGGGTTGATGGGGCCATTTAGTTGGGAGGACTGAAATACAAATGAAAGCAAGAGCGGGCAGGTGAGAAAAAAGCACTGCAAAATCAGAAGTCAATTTATGGAAGCTAATGCATAAAAATGAGATTGCGCATATTACAACCCAAGACCCAAACGTGTATGAAGCTTGCTAGAGAGACACAGCTACTGAGCCGTTCAGTCTGCAACCCATTTACAAATGTAAATGGATTTTGGGGGGTTGGTGGGAGTGGGGGGGGGTAAGAAATCACCTGCTTGCTCAGCTAATGAAGCTCTCTTTCAATCCAGTCTCCAGCTTCAAGATAGAGACATCTCTTGTATTCAAAAGGGTGATCATACAGGCCTTTTGGGGTCCATGAACCAGTTGGTGCAGTTATTTCCCATCTAACCAAACCACATTTGGATCCCTGAACCTCTCCAGGGTTAGCAGATCAATCCATTATGGTCCAATTACACTAATAGACTTGGTGTATTCTAGCAGCACATGCATGTTACAACAGTCAACAACATTCATTAACTGCAGGAGTAAAAAATTGATTAGAGTACTTATAACAGATGTTTGGGAATATTATGCCTGCTCCCAGTGAACTCAGTACAAGTAGGATCAGTCCCTTAATGTTTTCCAACCTGCTGCATGATATAATCATCTCAAAAAATTTCTTCCGTTAGAGTCCGCTATTGGTGCCTTTCACCGATCATACGGAACTGATGCTGTTCCTTAAAATAGACTTGTTTGTACAACATCCTACTTCAGTGTTGTTTAGAAGTACCGGTGATGCAAACCCACATGGAGAAAACTTAATTTAATGGTACTCTCTATTGCCGCAATACATCACCATCTATCTCTAAGGGACTTAACCTCACAAGACCCCGAGCTAAGGCAGCACTGTTTTTCTTATTGTACCGCTGAGAACCAGAGCACAGAGAAATGAAATCACGTGGCCAAGGTGACCTTAGGCCTGCTAAGTCCCATATTAGCATCCTATCCAGTGGCACTGAATCTTCCACATATTAAAACCCCATCTTATAACAGAAAGCAGAAGGCATGATTTGGCATTCTTCCTCCCAGAGTCTCAGATACATTTTTCCATCTAGTCCCAAACAAATAAGGGAGGGGAACTAGGATGCCACATTTTGGGAACAGACTTTTCTCTGCTTGTGGCTGGAGATGGGAAGGCCATCTGCCCAAAACACTTGAGAACCGGCATGGCAGAGGATGGTTAAGCTCAAAAACTATGTGCCGCTAAGGCTGTCTAATGGAGTTTGTCTTTGCAGCTCTTTCCACAAGATAGCATCCTCCAGTTACAGGAGCAGCAAGCCACTTCAGTTCACTGTCTTCTCAAAAGGTGACAGTCCATGTGTTTAGCCAGAAGCTGGACAGAATGGGATGTACCTTGGCTTAGCTGCTGCATATTTGCCTCAGCTGCAATCTTAACTGCATGCGCTCTTTGTAGGAGGAATGAAAGAACTAGCCCCCTGCTGCTAGAAGGAACTGCAAAGCCAAATCATGCAGACTGGAATTATGACAGGCATTCAGGGCCAAATTTTTGTGCCAAAAGTGTCAAACAGTACCAAATTCTGGCCCTCAAAGAATCCCCAACTCAATTTAGGACAATGGTACAGAAACAGACAGACAATCACACTTATTTAGGGCACGCTCTGGTGTATACAGGCAGGATGCTCTGCCAGGAACAGCACAGCAGACTGTTCAGACATTTCCAATGATCTCATCATCGGTTCTCACGGTAATAAGAAAAAACTTTTCTGTGGCATTGCCAAGTGTCTGCTAAAGATACCCATCCCTCAAGGTACAGGGAGGTATTCATCTGTCAGCACACGAGTTGCTAGACATATGCTTGAGGATCGTCCCAAGCTGTGGCACAAGTGCCAAGATCATTTCTGAAATCTGATCTAGTTCCCAAGTTGGGCAACACTGAGTTTTACTTGGAAAGACCAAAAAAAAAAAAATCTGGTCCAGTTCGAGCTAAACAGCCAAGCCGCATGCAACCTCAAATCAACCGTCAAAGCGTTATATTGGCATCCAGCCTTTGCTTAGACATTTGGAAGTGATTATAGCCTCAAAAGACAGCAGTGTGCCCAGCTTATCTGTGCATAAGTCAGGGAGGTACTAGTCACCCCACAGATGCATCGCTGTTTGGAACTGGCCAAAACTAAGCTGCTACTTTACGCGGTGCATTGCATTGCACAAGCAGAAGCAGAACAGTGGTCACTACTGAAAACCTTGCCAAGACCAAAGGAGCACAAGAGCGTCAGGGCAGAGCGATTCCTTCATATGGAATGAATGTAGATGAAACATAGATGTTCAGGTCCCCCTCCCTTTTTATGCACTCTCTCTAATGGGCAGCAAAAACATCAGATCAAACCCTGCCCTTGCGAGGTGTCAAGTCATGAAGATGCAAATCCTAATGCTCTCCTGAGAAAATGCTGTGGCACTGCCCTTGCATGGTGGGCAAACCCATGGTTGATCTGGTTCTGGTGAGGGGTGAGCTCGTCTCTTACTGTGAGCTGCACTGTATGCTGCCTTCCACATTGCCTGACTCACTCCGGGGGTGGCACAACACCTGTTTCATTCAGTAGGTTTCTTGTCATGCTAAATGAAAAGCGTGGGTGTTTGGGGGCCTTTCAGTTACTCTTTAGTCCCTCCTCAGACCCTCCTACTGCAGTTTTGTAACGTGTGTAAAAGTATGATCGGTGGCTAATACCACGCTTCCAGCTGTGCAGTGTCCAAACTCTCCTCTGATGTTTGCTGGATAGTTATTTTGGCAAGAATGTCTGAGTGTCAGGTAATTAAGCACACACGACTGCAAAGGGAGAAAAAAAACCTGGGAATTAAAATCAGAAGGGCTTCCTGAAGGCAACATATAATCTTTTCCCCTTTACCACTTGTATCTGAATACGAATTACTCATCGCCTGTTGTCCTTTCTCGTAGCAAGGGTAGGAACAGATGTGCGGATTCTGACATGACCTCACATCTTTGCATGGGACCATTTCAAATACCATCTCTTGACATCACATCATTCATAGATTCATAGACATTTGGGCTGGAAGGGACCTCGGAAGATCATCGAGTCCAGCCCCCTGCCCCAGGGGCAGGAAGTCCGCAGGGATCATAGGATCCCAGCAAGATAAGCATCCAAATGTCTCTTGAAGACGTTCAAAGCAGGTGCTTGAACCACCTCCGGCAGCAGTCTATTCCAGGCCTCGGGGGCTCAGACAGTAAAGAAGTTCTTCCTTATGTCCAGCCTGAAACAGTCATGGAGGAGTTTGTGACCATTCGACCTTGTCATATTTTGTTTCACACCGCAAATCTACGTAGGACGGCATAAAGACACAAAATGCCCCACCAGACATTGTCTTCCATAGGACCTGGATACAGTCTCCCATATACTCTGATC